TTACGTTGTAGATGTCTATGGGCTCCAGTAACCACTTAACACCAGGTGGGCTGTGAGCTCGTCGAACCATCTAAGCAATAAATTAAAAAAAAGTGAGCAAAAGAACGTGGTGCCATAATGGCAAGTGGAAAGATTTTAAAAACAGCGTCATCAACTACCACATTTCATTTTAATCCAGCACACTTCACTCTTTTTAAAACTGCTATGTTCATACCATTTTACGTTACTATACTTGAGGCCTTAGAACTTGTATCTCAATGTGGGTGGCGCATTTACGTTGTGGATGTCTATGGGCTCCAGTAACCACTTAACACCAGGTGGGCTGTGAGCTCGTCCACCCATCTAAGCAATAAAAAAAAAAAACTTCCTACACTAGCGCTATTTCGGTGAGTCTCCCAACAGTGATTTGCTGTTCACAGATGGACGGTTTTTCAACTTGTTCCCTAAGCATGATTGTGATCCTTACCTCTACCCTCCATTCCTCCCTTCAAATACAGATTACACCGGAATACAGATTATCCAACTTAGAAGTGATTTTATTGAGCTCACTGCAATGTCGTTTAACGTTTCTTGAACTAACTAGTCGACGCCCCTAATTATGATAAGTTCACAGTAAAGATTTTGAAACATACCTACATGTTATTACTGGTGGTTAGTCGCCTCTTAAGCCTGCACGGTTTAGTAACCCTGCCTGTTTTTGCAGTGAAGCAGTAACGCGTTTCGGTTTGAAGGGTAGAGCGTCCGTTGTACTGTAATTATGGTCTCATGGTCTCATGGTGGGTCCGTTGTACTGTAATGGTGGTCTCATGGTGGGACGCGGTATTCACGTCGTTGATTTCTATCGGCTCCTGCGGCCACTCAACACTAGATCCGCACGGAGTTCGTTCGGCCATTTTAGTAAAAACAAAAAACATGTATGATTTGCATTCCGCATGCAAAAAGAATGCTTAAGACTCTGTTAGTTCATATTCTTTGTCAACACAGATGACGCACGCGGTGACGCACGAGACATTACAAAAAAACGATTTTATTTTATGCATTTACTCGATGAAGGTCACCAGGAAGCGGTCGAGGAATGTATTAGTAAAAAAATATATATACAAAAAACACACACTTTTAACTGCGAATCAAGATATTTTTAATCATGTACCTAAATTACGAATCCTTGTTTTCTCAAATGAGTGAGCAAATGATGAGTGAGCAGAAAATTTTAAAACGGAATTTTTGAAAATTCATTGATATGAAACTACTAATGCTCTGATGCTTTCAAATTAATGAAGTGGAAGTTAGTTAGTGGAACAAAACGCCTGAAGTCAATTTAATACTAAAACATTTATTTGAGTTGAAATAAAATAAAATAATGTGCGTAAACACATAATATATTCAGGCGTTTCAAGTTTTTTTTTAAATTAAAATTAGTTATCTAAAAATAGATCTGATTCAATTTTATTTTCAATTGCATCGAAAGGATATATCAGTGTGTTTAATCACAATAATGTTTATTTGTAAAAAACTGAAAACAGGCAGTAGGTAAATGTTTTTGAGTTTTCGCATGTATGAACAGGTAGGTACTTTTTGTGTATTTTATAGTATTATCTACTAGCTGACCCGGCAAATGTTGTTTTGCCATGTTTATAAGATTTCTAGAGAATTTCTAGTATAGAAAAAAAAAATTACTTATTGTAAGTGTGTAAGGATGTGGTAAATGAGTGAAAGAGGCATGTAGCGCTGTGAACGATGAGGGAATATAAAAATAACAAAACCTCATGAACCACATAATGCCTCATTATAACAAACAAAAAATTGTCCAAAAAATAAAAAATAAATGTTAGGGGTGGACAACCCTTATCACTTAGGCGTATGAAAAATAGATAGTAGCCGATTCTCAGACCTACTGAACATGCATATAAAACCTGATAAAAATCGGTCAAATCGTTTCAGAGGAGTATGGTAACTAGCATTGTGACACGAGAATTTTATTTAAAAGATTATATTTGTAGTATTATTTATATACGCAACATAGTCTTGTATCTAGTCTTCTAGAAAAATGATTATTTTGTATGTCGTATCATTCTCTTACTCCTTAACCTTTATTTTAACTTAATCTAATTCTTCCGGCCGCTGCTGGCGTCGTGATGAGTCCAATCGAGATTTTATTTAACGATCTGTCGTCATTACAGCGAGCAGTGTGCTTAGTGTGAGTTTTTTAACGTTCTCGATAGCGTAAAAGTTAGCTCATATTTTTATTTTATTTTTTATTGCTTAATAAATTTGCTCATATTTGTATGGAATGGGATCGTTTGCGTACGTTTGCCGCTAGGGGTGCTGTTCCAACTGCATACAAAATTGGGTTAACTTTTACGCTATCGAGAACGTTAAACAGCTCGCACTAAGCACTCAGGGGCAGAGCGAAACTCGTTATTAATTTTCATGTTACACTTGTGGTAAACACTTGATCGATCCATCTCTTATAGATGAAATAACATATTGAATGCGTAGAGCTTGGCGGTAGGTTTTTGACAAAAGTTTGGGGATATTTCGCATCCCAGGAACTAACTACAGTACTACTGAACAAAATAAATCATTGAAGACAAGATTAGTATAAAACACAGAACACTCTGAACATCAAAATCGGTTCAGTCTTTTTGCAACTTGCAATTATAACAGTATAACTAAGCTTTTAGTATGGTCGTCATCAACCTAACTCTCCCAGTCTTCTTCTGCACTGATTTTTACGAGCCTCTTCGATTCTTCCCAAACTCTTCTAGTGAGTCCAGTATCACTTACCGACCAATGCCTCAAGAATTTTTCACAAAACTTGTAATGTTGATTACTAATATTCACCATTTCCGGAGCGGAGGCCAAATATGATATCTGCCTACCAGCATCTTCTTTTTCTTGTCCGATTATATTCACGAAAAATCTAGATATCTCCTTTATGAATCCAGGTAGGTTTGTCAATATATCTGTGTCTTTGACTACGAAGGGATCGTATGTATTTGCAGTGACGCCACTGCCTTCTAGTCTCCTGGACAATTCGGCATTGAACAAGACCATCGCTAATTTTGAGTTAGCCAGTGACGTCACGATTGAATACCGACCAACGTCATTCCAGTGATCAAAGTCTATTTCTCCTAAGTACATTGCAGCCGCAGACCCATTGATAATACGACTCGGAGATGACGCTTTAAGTCTTGGCAACAATAGGAATGTGAGTAAGAAAGCGCCGTAAAAGTTTATCTGCATGGTGAGGTTTAAACTATCTGCTGTCACTGCGTCTGGTAGTGCGACCGAACCAGCATTGTTGATCAAAACATCTACTCTTCCTTCCGTATTGATCTGGTTAGCGAAATTTCGCACTGATTTCAAAGAGCTCAGGTCTAGTTGTTTGTACACAATGTTAGAATTTCCTGTTGCCTTGATGATTTCTTCACGAGCCTTTCTTAGTTTTGTTTCGTTGCGACTAGCGATGATAACTCTAGCGCCTTTGTCAGCTAAATCTTTAGCAGCTTCAAATCCAACACCGGCACTGCCTCCAGTTATGATGACAGTTTTTCCGTCCATTCGTGCTTTTGATTCGCATTTCACACTCGAGAACATACTGAACACAAGGAAAAATCTTTTATGACTGACTCTGAGCGTTTGTTGTTGTTATTATTTTTGTCTCAAGGCAAAAAGGGTATGAGATGCTACCGCGTGTTCTCGTTTAGAGGTCGTTTCCATCACTGTTGATTCAAATTTTAACAGAAATCGATACTTTAAAATCGCTTTCAATATTTCGATTTATTGGATAAGAACTGGTTTAATGAGGAATCGGTGCATTCCGGTTTTATGAGAAAAAAAAAAAGTTGTAGTCTATAGACTCCGGCATATTCACAATTTTTGTTTTTTTTGTGTTATATATCGAATGTTCCATGGAGTGAATTCTGAGGATATACATATTTGAGGTAATCTTGGTATTTACTATTGCAAAGCCGAATACCGGGTCAAAAATATCTCCTGGACACACTGCGGTCATCTTGCTTACTTCGAAATTAATATTTTCTCGCTGTCTCTCGAACGCGGAAGCGTCATTCTTTAAATGAAGTTTGAGGAGTATTTTGCTGGTATCGGCTTAGCTGTTCCCATAGAATTACCGATAATCCCGAGCGACGGTTGCTAATCACCATAAAACGGTTCGTTTTTTTTTCCTACCTAAGCTAATAGCCTTGAGAGGCTATTTCAGCGTAACCTTAACTTGTAGGTGAGCTCACGGGGCTCAAACCGCAATGATGCTAACACTGACCCTAGCAAGAGCAGTGCTTCGTAGAATCTACCACCGGATTGGAAACGCGACCCACTGAGAAGATCCGGCGAGAAACTCAGTGGGCTGTGTCTGTGGGTTAATTCGCTCGTCGAGCCCTTCGTCGCAAGTGATGGCTTCGACGAGGACGGTGAACTGGTGCTTGAGGTACCAGGATCGGGAGGATCCGTAATGACGTGTTTTGGGCGACGTCGACAATGGAAATAAAAAACTTAATGTTAAATAAACAAAAAAAGACTTAAATTCGTAAATTCATAGTTATGCTCATCGTATGTGACATGAGTATATTATATATAAGATATTCCAACATTGTTCTCGGTTTTACCAAGTAATTTAATTAAGCCCCATAAGGATGTTTGGCCTTGATTAAGCTACCTCTATTCTGTAGTGAAAATTTTTGACGAGAAATTTGGCAAAAATCCGAATTGCAATAGTACCTAAACATTCAAATACATTTTCAACCATACACATAATATCTAGTCAGGAAATGTTTGGAACAAAACGAACATTCTAGAGCGTGAATTTCATGATTATACAAACGAGATTCTAATTCGAAATTTTGGATTGCGATCAGTACCTACCGTGTTAAATGATCCGTGAAAATAAAGTTTTGGATGTTATTTATGATTCTTGTTATAAACTATCGGACTCGCGGCGACTGTGACCGTTTTTTATTTTATTTAAACCGGCTAAAATAATGAGAAGATTTTTTTTCATTTTTATTATCATTTTAGTATCGGCAGTCATGCTTTGTTATTGCGTAAGTTCTACCTACCTTGCCGTCTGGAAATCTTTTTGCTACTGTTGAATTTAATTTTTTTTAAACCTTCCTTCCTCCTCTACGGTGTTTCTCGAGCGCTATGACATGTCCTTCTTCAAACGAGGCTTGTGGAGAGTATTAAACGGTGGGCAGCTGTTTGGCTCTGCCCCTGGTATTGCTGACGTCCATGGGCGATGGTAACCACTCACCACCGGGGCTTGCAAACTCGTCTGCTTACAAGGACAATAAAAAATGCTGTAACTTAAAAACAACAATTAATTTCTGCCTCTCCCTAATCCCTTCAACTGGTTTCGGTAATATTACATTCTTATTCGCAGGATTTCCGTCAGGAACGTGCAAAAGTCAGGTACTGCAATCCGAAGTACTTGACCGACTGCGTTGTCTTCACCGGCAGGAAGAGCAGGCACGAGCCATACCTGACCAACATGACGGGCACACTTGTCGTGCCGTTTGGAAACAATGTTACCGTACGTACGATTCTCGGGGAGGTCTCTCGTATTCTCCCACAACGAGTTCTTTAAGGAAGATGACCGGTACTTGAAGAGATTTTTCGAGCGATGCCAGATTTGTGTTACCCCATCGCCTGGGATATACAATTAGCAGCCACAACGATAAGAAGGTTATCGTGTCGCGCTGTTTTTTCGAAGTATTGTTCTGATGCTACCTTAAAATACTTACGTTGTAAATTTAGATCGTCTTGAAGGTCGACATTCTTTACGTACCACAGTGCTCCGACAGCTATCCTGCAGAAATGGGATTGGATGACCTGGATAGGTGTATGTGTATGTGTAACCAGAATTGTGTCATGCTATTTGTTCACAGATCGCTTTGACGCTACAGATGAAATCTGGCGGCGATTTCCGCGTGACCACCAAAGTCTGCGAAGCGTTTCAGTCCAAGTGGATGAAGGAGTTCACGATTCGACACACCAACCTAACTTTGGGCCATTGTCCGTATCCACCCGTGAGTATAACCCATAATGCCGTACTCATAAAAGCGACGTAAGTAAATTTAGCTAGTGTTTGGTTTTTTCGATTTTATATGAAACTGATATTCAATACAAAAGTCGTAACGATTTCTCTAGAATACCTACTCGCGAAATGGCCTATTCCTATTCGTAATTTTTTGTAGTAAATAATACGTGTAAGCGAATACCCAAGAAATGGTATTATGAAGAAAGCAAATAGGTAGTTATTAAAATTTTTAAGTGAGGAAATCTAGTCGTCTCTCTCCCACGGTCTCTCATGCTTCTTTTACATACTTTCTATTAACTTGGCTTGTATGTTGCATGCACGAATGTAAACTAGGTGGATCGACATACCCGACCCTGTGGACCGAATGGTAAACAGTTGACGTCGCCCTAAACACGTCATTACGGATCCTCCCGATCCATTAACGGTGCTTTTAGGTACCTCAAGCAACAGTCACCGTCCTCACCGAACTCGTCATTTGCGATGAAGGGCTCGACGAATAAATTAACCCATAGACACAGCCGACTCAGTTTCTCGCCGGATCTTCTCAGTGGGTCGTGTTTCCGATCCGGCGGTAGATTCTGCGAAGCACTGCTCTTGCTAGGGCCATCGTTACCAACACTTCCGGTTTGAGATCCAAAAGCTCACCTACACGCTAGTAAGCTGAAATAGCCTCTCAAGGCTATATATTAGCTTAGGTAGGGAGAAAAAGAGGTGGATCGAGACTTTGTTTACCCACCTTAGCCAAAACCAATAGCGTTCGCAAGCGAAAAATAAAATATTAATATTAAGAAACAGTTCTTACATATGGCGACGCGTAGCCACATCATACATACTACTATATTTAGACTGTATATATGCATATATACACTATCATATACGGCTTCCGTCGCCATGTCAGCAATGGGTTTTACGTGCGTGAAAAAATGTCTAATTTGGCAGTCGCCAAGAGTCATGAGATATGATGAAACGAATCATTTCGGAAACATAACAAACTATTATTAGTAATGATAACAGCCGTATTTAGCCGACTGTTGAAGGAGGGGGGGGGGTTATGATTTCGGAGCGTACGGATGCCTAATATTCGTTACCCGCTATTGCCTAACTCTTTTGCCACATTTCTAATAATTCGTTTATTGTCTATGGGCAGATCTCAACTATATATCTTCATTGTGGAAGGTTTTTTATTGCCCTTATAGAGAGTCGAGCATATGGCCCACCTGATGGTGAGTGGTTACCGTCGCCCATGGACTTCAGCAATGCCAGGGGCAGAGCCAAGCCGTTGCCTACCAAGTGAACTTATTTCAATGTAGTATTTGTGAGAGAAAAAAAGAGGTATCATCTTTGGTACAGTTAATGTAATCTATTCCAAATATATCTTTCTAATACTACTATATTTTTTATTAGAACCTTGAAAAAGTTGCATAAAATATTTCTTTCGTAACGAAATAAATTCAGAGTGTCAAATAAATTAGCTGAAGAATAGCTAGACTGGATTGTAGGAAGGTTTAACTACGAAGAGAAGATGTTCCACTGAGCGGGTGATAGTGCTCGGTAGACTTGGTGGTTCGGTAGACTCCGTAGACCTAGGTTTACTGGTGGTAGGACCTCTTGGGAGTCCGCACGGGTAGGTACCACCACCCCGCCTATTTCTGCCGTGAAGCAGTAATGCGTTTCGGTTTGAAGGGTGGGGTAGCCGTTGTAACTATACTGAGACCTTAGAACTTATATCTCTAGGTGGGTGGCGCATTTACGTTGTAGATGTCTATGGGCTCCAGTAACCACTTAACACCAGGCGGGCTATGAGCTCGTCCACGCACCTAAGCAATAAAAAAAACCTTTAGAATTGTTGTTATGAGCGACGGTGATCACTCGAAATCGGCTAATTGGATGCATAGTTTCCTGGAGTTCACTATTATATTATACCATCGACTATTATATTTATATTTTATAATGGAACTATAAACCTGAATGCCACGACACACCTTGGGAGATGAGGTCAAAATATCAAATGTACGCATTTACGTTGTAGATATCTATGGGCTCCAGTAACCACTTAACACCAGGTGGGCTGTGAGCTCGTACACTCATCTAAGCTATAAAAAATGTGTGCAATTCACACGTGGTAGAAGTGAAACCTTCCAAAATTAAAATACAATTATCCTAAACGTCTTAAGTATATGTAAAATTTTGTCATTAGTATATAATTGTAAGGTAGCGCCCTCTGTGAATTGATATTTTAATTTCACGTATAATCCTAAATTAAAATTCACTACAAGAGCTTTCATACACACGTTAGTATTAAAAAATCTCACAGATGGCGCTGTATTAAATAGTATGTATATTTCTGTCTCATTCTTTTGTATTTGTGTCTCTTACCTGTCGTTTTTTCCGTTGCATTCGGTTTGAAATCACAACGATTCTAAAGAAGTTTTCACTTCAAAAAATGTTCGAACAAATAAATAGTCGTCATTATTCACGTTCTCGTCGACATTAACTTTGCAGGGCAGATACCGTTATATGAATATGGAGCTACCGCCCAAGAACGTACCGATCCCCGTTGCGGACGGCGACTACTACATACGGTTCCAGATGCTGGTCACCGACACCAATGAGGAGATCTGCGACCTGATCACGTTCCTCCACTTCGAACAGAACAAGAAACCCAAGAAGATTAATAAAAAAACATAATTAAAATTTTAAACTCGGTTTTTACTAAATTCAACCCTATTGTCATGATTAAAGGTCTAATTAGTTTTGTCCATACGTGCCTCTCAGTTCACTCGTATTTCTGCTAGTCGTAGGGCCTGGTGTAAACTCACACGATTCACTAGAGCAGGGGTGAGCAACATTTTTATTCAATGGACCAATGTAAAATTTAAAATTTTTTTTAAACTCTTATTATTAATTTACGAAATTGATTTAAAATAAATATTAGAATAAATAAAAAATTAAATTAAAAAAAAAACTAAACATTTCATTTACAAATTTTAATGCAAGATAAAAACAAACAAGTAAAGAACAGAACAACTGACAGAAACGAGAAAGACGATACAATAAATACAATTTTAGGAATGCTTAGCGGGCCTCATCCTTGCACTAGAGCAATAATCTTGATATCGAATAATAAACTATTGGCACTAAATGGTGGGTCTGGTGGTTGTGATTTAGCAGCGCGTCCCACCACACCAGCCTTGGGTTCAACATCGAAACAACCCGGGTAAGAGAAAATAGTAAACAGACCAAATCGCTTCACGGTATTCTAAGCACAACAAATTATAACAATTACAAATAACACAGAATCATTTTAATTTTATTTTATAACCACAATAATTCCGTTCGTGACCGTGAACAGTTTGGACACGATGAGGGCCTCCTTATTGTTTTTATTTGTTCTGTGTTATGAAGTTGTTTTATGCTTTGTAAGTATTAAATGCGTGTATTGTAAGTCGGCACGGTTAGATCAGTATTGTGTGACGTATTTTAACCACGAAGCTGTCATGTACTCCGGTATAGAAGGTGGGGCCATGTCAGTGGCTTCGACTCATGTCTCAAGGTGGATACGGGTTTTCACGTTGTGATGTTTAAAGTTCCGACAACCACTTAATACCAGATAAGTAAACGCATCTGGCCATTCGCCGGAATATAAAATCCTCGCAAATGACCAACTTTGTGACAGCTATAGACTTCGTCTATAAACCTTATCATAACATCTTTAAGCAATGTCTATTGTTGTTTTTTTTTCTGGCTCAGAAAGCAAACCAAGGGCAGAGCAGAATTGTGTATGCTAATCCAAAATATGTCCGAAACGTTCACATACTGACCGCTAGAGCGTCTAAAGGGAAACCTTATACTACTAACTTTACTATGGAAGCTTTGACTCAAATAGAAGATAACATCACGGTGAGTATACATGGTGGCCCGGAGGTCTTTCCAGTTTCACCAGGACAGGTGGGCGAGCAAAGGCTCAGCCAGGAGGGGTGGGATTTGCTAACAACTGCCCGAGCGCCTCCGAAGGAGACCTAACAACTCAAAAGCAATTGCTTCGTGAATGAATCTACTACCGGATCGGAATCACGACCCGTTGAGAAGATCCGGCGAGAAACTCAGCGGGCTGATGCATGGGATAGGTTGCACGTCGACCTCTTTGTCGAGTTCGACGAGTACGGTTACCGGGGTCCCTAAGCCTGCTCCTAGTGTTACAGCTGAAGGCGTCTAATGCAAAGGTTATTGGATCTGATGGATCCGTAAGGACGTGACCTTGTTCTAACGTTTAGTAGCGGTAGGATTTGGGACTACGGAGAGACTTCGGTTTTTCTGTGCTTTTTTACCATTTGTTTTGGGGATATTCTGGGACACATTCTGGGAGCTCTCTGAGGAATGCTTCGTGATTCTCCTACCGCCATACTACCTAGAACCATTGCGTTCATCCAAAGTGCGTTACCAGAGATATTTTCTGCCACGTACAATGCGATATTGGAATTAACTTCCTTCCACGGTTCTTCTTGAGCGCTGCGACAAGTCCTTCTGCAAACGAGGTTTGGGGAGAGTATGTAACGGTAGGCAGCGGCTTGGCATTACTGATGTACATGAGCGGACGGTAACCACTCACCATCAGGTCAGCCTTAAGCTCGTCTGGGCAACAAAACTATCTAGTATGATTTCAAATCAGTTGAGTTACTAAATTTGAACGATGAGCCGCGAATTTACATGTCCATCAAGAACAAAAAAATACTTTGCTATCTTTATAACAAAGAGCTATAAGCGAATGAGATCACAGCCTACCTCGCGTTAAGTCCCTCCTCCGTGCGTTGTATTCCTCAGTGCTGAGGGTCGTGACCTTTACGGAGCACTTTTGTTAGGACTATGTTCTTCCATTCACTCCTGTCCTCCGCACAGTGGATAGCGACATTGATGCTGGATTCCAAAGTCGTCTTAATCTGATCGGACCAGCGCAGGGACTACGCCCTTTAGGCCTCTTTCCTTCCACTTTGCCGGTGATGAGAAGCCTTCGAGATTCGCGTTAAGTGGTTATCTTCTATCTTTAGACTTCAATATTCACGAGTTTAATTTATATTTTCAGATGATTGCAACTTACAACTTCAAAGGAATGAAGGTACAGTGGAAAGAGACATTTTGTAAAATTATCAGGTTCAAATGGGTTAAGGATTTTGTAAATGAATTCTTTCAGCCAGCTATCACGAGGTGTCCTTGGCCCGTCGTGAGTACTCTAGTCTTATAGCTTTTTATACGTAAGCACACTCAAGTGAGCGAGAAAAGCTTAAACATAAATAAATTTATTTATTTTAAAGTTTAACATTTTAATAATTTTCTTTACAATTTTTTTTTGCTCTCGAAAAGATATTAAATGTTTTAAAATTGATTAGTCGTGATTATTTAATAATTACATGTGATTACTGGTGGTAGGACCTCTTGTGAGTCCGCATGGGTAGGTACCACCACCGTGTCTATTTCTGCCGTGAAGCAGTAATGCGTTTCGGTTTGAAGGGCGGGGCAGCCTCTGTAGCTATACTGAGGCCTTAGATTATATACTTTCTCACGGGCCTCAATTAGCTCTAATTCTATTTTGAAATTTTCATTGAATTCCAGGGTAATTATTCGATAATTGATATGGAACTACCACCGAAGAACCTGCATCTACCGTTATCTCAAGGTAAATTGGATCCGTCCGTGGACTTCCTGATAACCGGAACCAATACATATGTACTTCGGATTACGATGTTATTGGTTTTGACCTAATTGTTTCTAACGCAACCTTCCGATGTCTGGGTTTTTCGAACGGTTCGGTGACAAAAAAGAAAACACGCTTCAACAATTCGACAAAAAAAAAATCCATGTTGAGTTTTACAGTTGCAGAACTGTTTTCTATGTGAATTGTGTGCGATTTAGATGATTTTTGAATATACCTAATTAGTGTTCAGGCCAGTGCCTTCAATTATTTTATAGCAATGTCAAAGATGCTAGCCTTCTAAGGCGCTAAGCATCATAGTTTAATAACTTAATGTATTTCGCTATCATTCAATCATTCACTACCCGCTCTTCAAGCACGCTGTACCTACGTTTCTTAACTTAAATATTATAAGAATAGCATCAAATGCTGGAGTTTTATTACCACAAGAAACTCCATTATGTATTAGAAGCCGGTACAATTAGTTTTATTTACATCGACTCGCGAAATCGTAATAAAATATCAAACACATCATATTTTAAATATTTATTTAAAGTAGACCATACAATTTCATTGTAACGATATTATGTATTCAAATATTATTTCGCATCATTTCACTGAGTTTTTCGGCCATAGCTATTAGCACAGAGTTCGGGTACAGAGACAACGGCGCCGGAAGTACGCTGGCGTCCATTATGCGAACGCCGGAAACTGATTTTAATCTGAAAAAAGAATTACAGGAACATACGTTTTAATTGGGCGACCAGACCAACTCGTGATCTATTTGGTGTTGAGAAGTTACCGGATCCATCTTGCGGTCGGAGGTCAAGGGCAATGCTACCTACCCTTCAGACAGTATCGGCATTCATTAGATGACTCGGAGACACACTGAGAGAAGATTGATTGGAGTTTTTTATGATAATTAGCTAGACTATTTCGCGACTGGAATAAGTAGGAGTACCTAACTAGGTGTGACAACATTAAAAATCGGACTTCCATGTTATTCGTCTCATCACTGCCAATATAAACATAAGCGAACATGATCAAGATACTGTTTCCTTAAAATAATTGTCATACAGTTGGCACTTTATTATCCAAGATCCACAGTACGTAGGGCATATCAGTGAGCCCGGGTAGATACTATTATCGTGTCTATGTCCACGGCGAAGTAGTCATGCGTTTGGTTTGAAGAGCGGGACAATATTTTTAGAATACAATTGTAAGGTCTACCTCATATTTCTTTTTTCCTACCTAAGCTGGTAGCCTTGAAGGCCATGTCAGCGTAACCTAAAAAGTAGGTGAGCTCACGGGATTCAAATCTGACGACGTTGCTAACACTAACCATAGCAAGAGCCGTACTTCGCAGAATCTACCACCGGATCGGAAACGCGTGAGAAGATCCGGCGAGAAACTCAGTGGGCTGTGTCTATGGGTTAATTTACTCGTCGAGCCTTTCGTCGCAAGCGACGGGTTCGTCGAAAACTATGATCGGCGCTTGAGGTACCTAAAAGCACCGTTAATGGATCGGGAGGATCCGAAATGACGTGTTTAGGGTGACGTCAATTGTTTACCATTCGGTCCACAGGATCCGGTATGTGCATATCTCAAGATTGATTGACAGCATTCCATTTCAATACTTAAAAAAATATCAAAATAGATCAAAGCGATAATAACCATTATAAATATTGATATACGTACTGTAATTGGTCATCAACGACCGTTCCACCGGAGCAGGTCCCGGCGACGTGGTGGCCGGTCACCGCGACCTCTCGTATCAAACACTCCAGATACGTATCCGGGGGAGTATTGATTTTTGCAGATTTTATCTTTCTTTCAAATTTCTGTTGCTTTTGCTGTCTGTATACAGGAGTAATATGTTATGTTAATAGAACCGTATTGTTTGTGCCGTTAAAATTGTTAATAGCACGAGCGACGGTGATCACTCAAGATCGGAGAATCAGATGAATAGTTTCCTAGAGTTTGTGGCGGGTAGCCATCACAGCTCTATGTTCATATAACGGTATCTGCTCTGCAAAGATCCTGAGTCGGGCGTATGAATTTAAAAATCGTATTTTCAATCCATGCACAAGATATTTGACAGATCCCTGAATCTCGCTAACAACATTATCAAGTTAAGTTCGCTTAAATACAAGTTCGAAACAACAACATTAGGACCGTCGGTCTACCGAGCAATATCTCCCATTCGATGGAAGATTCCCCTATTGTCGTATATCTACAAGTTCACTATTATATTATACTGTTGGCTCCTCCTGCTCCTTGTGTCGTATCCTTCAATGCCGCGGAGTGGTCACCCTTCTATATCACTTTCTCTCTTACTTCTATATTTATATTACAGAACTCCTATAAATCTGAATGCCGAGACGCACGTTGAGAGATGAGGTCAAAACATCAAATGTATCGATGACTGTCCTACTCTTTAAGCCCATAGGCAGGATCATGACTACTGCCCGTGCCTACCTCGAGTTTATGGCTCTGGTTAAAATCAGCACTAAATACCGATGAAGCGTCATTTTTAGCGCGAAGTAGCCTATTGCTGGGGCCAGACTGTACTGTTGCGGCTCGTGGGCCCAAACGGGCTGTCGACACTACCCAGTCTATTCCTTTCAGTCACTCAGGCCGAAGCATCCGACGATGATACAGAACTAGCTTACAATCTCAATCTCTTTCTGCTCCTCTGGTCTTCCGACGTGTAGTTCCAGAAGGTAAGACAACGCTCAGGTCTGGGCCAGTGGATCTTTGCTCCCACATCCCGAAACGGCTTTGTTGACACCAGCTGCTCTGCCCTCCTTATTGCTGTTGCATAATGTTTTTAAGTGTTATTAGGCTATTTTTAGTTGCTTGGTACATACCAATGTATTTATGTTTGATTGTATGTAACGGAATCTTTGTAAGTTATTTTTAAGTGAATACGCCAGGTAACTTAAAAATATGCACACGCACCAAGATCCAATGACAGTACAATCATTATTTAGCTTCCCTCTAATAGCCTGACCGTTGTAACAATGGGATAAATGAATATGAAATTAATTGTTAGTTCGTTTTGCTATTTAAGTGTGTTTTTTTGTGTTTTTAAAGGAAATTTATTAGTAAACTCAAGAAGAACATAGCAAAAGTTGAAGGGACTATTGTATATCAGATTATCTCAAGTTAGGCGCACATCGCATTTGATTGACTGCGTGAACACTGCACACCGCCTCAACCATTAAGTCAAAATCCTCGCAGCATTAAAATATTAGTCTACCTGCCCTTCGAAGCGACGCTCGTGGTCACTTCGCGGCTGCATCAATCAGGACATTACACACCCACATGGTCTTAAAGCGCGACCCACCACGACGGTCCTAATACACCATTTACGCTTTACCTTGTATCATGCACCGAACATCCTCGATTCTCTCCAAGTACCGAGGGTCTACGAGGGGAGGAGTTTTCGTGTTAGCATCCGCTAAGCTGACAGACCCTCGGCTGATGGGCTGGGTGCAAGTCGATAGGAACATGAACCCTTCCTTTCTTGTCGAGTTGTGAAATGGAAACGTTGCGCGAAAGACCTAAAAACGAAAAGACTTAAAGTTTTTCTATGTGAACTTTTTGGAGCAATCTGGCCAAAGCTTTTACTTGAGGTTTGTAATTGGATAGATCCCGCAGCAGTCTCTCACTAGATGTTCCCATGGAGAACAGCATCACGGCAGACGGATTCTGGTATTCGACTCCAGCGACAGGTGGGAAAGACAGTAGACCTGAAATATTAAAATAAAGCATTTCAATAATTATCGTGTAACTGCATTGAAAACAAGCTGTCCACAAAGACAAAAAATTAGGGACAAGGTTACTGGTGGCTCGAAGGACATTCAAGTTTGATAAGGACAAAGCGAACACCGGCTCAGCCAGGAAATACTAATAGGTCCCCCCTTTTGGTACTCATTGTGTTAGTCTACAAAATCAAATAAGAATCAAAAATGCATAGTTAGACTGAACATTATTTATTCTAGTAAGAGGTGGATTTCTGTCAGCGTAGGCTCTGTAAAATTACACTCTCACCTTTGCCTTTCCACAAGTATTCCCAGACGGTCGTCGCGGTGAATACCTTCGCCAGGGTCACGCTGATTGGCTTCTGGATGCTGACGTAGAGGGGAAAATTCATATGATCGTGCAAGTTCCTGCCAACGTGCTCGTTCACCACAACCGGCTTTATTTTCAATCTGTCATTGAAAGGTATTTTGTTTAGAAATGGTCATTAGAGTTAAAATTGTATTACTATTTTACAAAACACATCTTTCGCTGATGCGTATATTTCAAAGCTTGGAGATTTTGAATTCGAAAATGTCTGAGGACTAGCTCCTCGCTTGCATTCTCAATGAAGTTCATTTTACGCGAAATGTCTTCTGAGGGTCCCAAGAAAATATCTTAGCTGTTTTTTTCCCCTCAGAAACGTTTTAATATGTCTTAGCTCCAAGGTCTTGATCTCTTTCACAATATATTTGGCTTAGGAATAATCCCTCAATACATTATAGACCGTCCTCGTTTGGATCAGAGCCCATTCTTGCTAACCAAAGCATTTTGTACTTACTTCTGCAACAAATCTTTCGGTCCGATTCCAGACAGCATTAGTATCTGCGGTGTCTTAATGGCGCCCGCGCAAATAATGATGTCCTTGTTGATGAAAACGTTGTTAAGGTATCGATGGTTTAGCAAAATGTACAGTGACACTGCCTTCTTGTTTTCGAAGCGTATCTGAAAGATGTAAGACCCGGAATTTTTATTTTATGCCAACAATCATCCATCGCGTTCCCAACATTGGCACAAAGAAACAAATTTAGGAGACGTGTAGGTATTATTGTAATACTGAGAGATTGCTGCCAATTCTCAGTTAAATCACCAGTAGATCGACTGTCCCTACGTACAGTATCGAAACTGAAAATTTGCGATTTTTTTTTATGACGCTAAGATATTTCTTTTTATGTATATTTTCACACAAAAAAGAGAAAAAGCTATAAAATACATATTAAACCATGTTTTCAATGAGTATAATATCGATACTTAACAAATCAATCAGCGTAAAAAATCGAATGTTTAATTTCGGTACTATACGCGGATACAAGAAGCGTGCGTGCAGGACGAAACTACCGCTTTCGTTGCTATACGCGGTGCCCCGCGCGCCCGCGCGTTCTGACGCAATTTTGAAGTAATGTGGCTCTAACGGAAAACTGATAAGTATATTAACAAATTTATTAATTCCGAGTGCATGATGTTTATTTTNACTGTCCGGCTATTGGGGTAACATATTTTTATAAGTCCCTAAGTAACATATATAAAATTTAGCTTTTATAGTATAACGAAAGTATAATTAAAATTTATTAAAGTTTAGGGGTGTCTGGCAGGGGGTAACAACTGGAAAAAGTGTCCGGCAACGGATATCGTGATTTCTAAAGATATTCTGGAGTAAATATTTAAAAAAAAACCTTTATACTTTAACGAATTTAAGGTACTATTTTATATACCTTTACTGCCTGTTACCTGCCCAAGTAACCACAATCGAAACTCTATAATCGCGGGTCGTTCTTACCTGTGTTGGAGACTTACACAGAGAAACTTTCAGCTTTTATAAAATAACGAAGGTCTGGCTGTCGCGGGCTCTTGCTCTATTAGGTAGGATGTTTGTAGTTCCTAATGCGGGATAAAAATACACTCACGATTAGTTTCCGATTGGAGTATAATATCAGAAAAGGCCATTATCCATTTTCCTGTAAGACCCTCAGTTGCCAATTGCCATACACACGGCAAGAGTTGTGATGCAGAGGTGGAGGAAGGCGGAAACCACAAAGTCTGCTGAAATACATATACGAAAGACTTACTGAAATACCCTGGGTGTTCAGCAAAACGTGTAAGTTGTCTCTCTGCAGCGCCGGCTTCAGGTACGCGTCGAACGAGACGTGTCTGACACCGTCCTTAATTGTCGCTGTGGCTTTTTGAAACTTTGTGTACTCTGTCTTTGTCTGTCTTGAAGCTTCTTTAAATGTCGTCATAAGTTCGTCGCGGTGATTTAGTACTAGTTTCATTGGCGCCTGTAATTCAGCTCTTCATTGTTATTTTACAACACAAACCTTTATTTTTCATAAGACGAACTCAGTGACCCCTTAATACTAAGCGGCCAACGGAATTATAATTTGATAACAGGACATAACCGGCCAAAAAAAAAGAAAAATCAGTGGCACTGTTTGAGATGCTTGATGTATTGGTTTGAAGTCTTAAAGACATTCAAATGATGAGCCCTGTTCTTTTCACCAGTCGTTAACATAGGAAAAGGAGGTTTGGAAGGTTTGGAGGTTTAGAGTTTAAAATTGTGGTCATAGCAACAGTACTGAAGTGAAAGTGATTTTATGTACTGGTATGAGATATTTTATTATTACTTTTTTCATGTCCTTTTTTGACAGGTGAGCTATACGATTACGAATGCTCACCGAAGCACACCAAAGTTCAGGGAGTACTACAGTTAAACTTTTAACGTGTTTTAAACTTTACCATTGATTTTGGACAAAAGCCATCTTCGTAACAGGGTTCAGTGTCAAATTCACTCTCCGTTGTCCCAAATGCCTTCAAGAAGTATGGCTTCAAGTCCTCAAACGTCCAACCTTCGAAGCCGAGTTGAGACCATTTCTCGTAATCTCGGGGCGAACCAGATCCGTGAAGGAGGAAGTTTATTTGTCCGGAGCCGCCGAGTCCTTTTCCGCGTGGCAGGATTTGTGTCTTGAATATCGAAAAGAAATCCAATTTATTGTGATGATAGGCAAATGATTGGTGGTGGTAGGACCTCTTCTGAGTCCGCACGGGTAGGTACCACCACCCCGCCTATTTCTGCCGTGAAGCAGTAACGCGTTTCGGTTTGAAGGGCGGGGCTGCCGTTGTAACTATACTGAGACCTTAGAACTCATATCTCAAGGTGGGTGGCGGCATTTACGTTGTAGATGTCTATGGGCTATATTAACCACTTAACCCAGGTGGGCTGTGAGCTCGTCCACCCACCTAAGCAATAAAAAAAAAACTCTGGGACCTCCCCTTCGTCGTATTTTCTGCCCATAATAAAAGCTCGTTCACCTGCCGCCAAAGTCCAAAAGATGAGTATCTTTGTGGTACTGTTCTCACGGACCAGTCGTTTGGTCCCTGCTGTGCTGCAGTCGGCGTTAGAGGCATCCTGGTGAAGTAGCCCATTTGCTCACCAGCTTCGATTAGCAGGACTTTGGTGTTCGGGTCTTCGGAGAGGCGAGAGGCCAGGACACAACCTGATGTGCCGGCGCCAACTGAAATGAGCATTGATAAGAAGGCCAATTTTCACTTGAAGTACCACCAATAACCGTAATTAGTTTCAAGACCATCTGATAAACCAAATGCGAATGTATAAATTACAAACCAAGAGACAATTCTATTTTTATTTATTTAAATTTTTGTTTTATTGCCTTGTTTGGTGGATGAGCTCACAGCCCACCTGGTGTTAAGTGGTCACCGGAGTCCATAGACATCTACAACGTAAATGCCGCCACCTACCTTGAGATATGAGTTCTAAGGTCTCAATATAGTTCCAACGGCTGGCTCACCCTTCAAACAGAAACGCATTACTGCTTCACGGCAGAAATAGGTGGTACCTACCCGTGCGTATTCACAAGAGGTCCTACCACAAGTCGTTTTTTTTATATTAGTACATATTATAGCTATGTATTTTTAAAAAAAATTGTATGTCCAGTAATTTAAGTTCTTATTAAATACGTACAAACATAGAAGAAATTACATATTATTTGGTGTTTAATTACTGTAAACTTTATTGGAAATTTTCATAACATTGGACATGGACTAAAACATTAGATTCCAAATTTCGTAGATCAACAATTATAACTCAGTCAATAAATGTTCGAAATAAATCGAAAACTTAAATGCTAAATCTAGCTACTACCAAGCAAAAGGCGCCGTGTTGCTTCATAACTTTCATAAGGAGTCACGAATGTAGCTTACCAACAATATAATCATATCTCTTTTCTGGCTTCTTAATAATACTGGAATACACGTTCGCATATCTGTGATATAAAACATAAGACAAGCATGCGAAAACCACACCTAAGACGTACGTATATATTGTCATTGTTATAAAACAAGATATAACACTTATTCGTCGCACATTACGATGGCATGTTTGTGATTTGTCTGAAGTTTCACGCGGGTTTTTTTTTACTTAATTGAATTAGAATGGCGTCGGCAACATTTGGTTGGTTAGAACCGTTTAAAATTGCATAAATAATAATAATAATAAAGCCTTTTATTTCCCATCACCTAAGTATTACATCTAAATATTCTTAAATATATATGATTTTTACATTTTGATCTATTTTCAGTTTTTACATTATTACTTTTTATATTAGATTTCTTTTTTCTTTATTGTTGTTTATTTGATTAGCCTACATCAAACTTTTCTTCGATAGGAACCCCTCTTTGGGTATAGGCCTCCTCTAGCTTAATCCAATTTTCTTTGTTCTTAGCTCTTTTAATCCGTTATTTTCTTCTTTTGTTTTAGCTATCCTTACCTTGGCATTGAAGTGCCAAGTGAAGTTAAAATTGCATATTGCATTGCAATTCGTATTTGCATTTTAGTATAAAAATAATTCTGCTATAAAATTAAGTCTATTGTAGAAGATGATGAAGACAACGGATGAGTACCTAAACGGCCTATCTGATTGGAAATAAGAATCGATTCTAGTGGCTGCTTATCAATCTCAAAGGCTCGACAAACTTCCTTCCTCTTTATAAGATCCTAAGTATTTTTGTTTAGGAATAGGCAGGAACCCTCACGATGGACTTGGTATCAACATCACAAAATCAATGCCGGCGTCCGCTTGAGGAAATTAGTTAGAATTAACCTTTAATGCTGTAGTTATCCTTATTAAAATATTTCAAATGTATGGCTACATTGACGCTACGAATGTAGGCGAAATAATAGTTGCTCGGCTATGTAAGATCTTTTGGTAGTATTCAAAATCATAATGGCATATTTTTTTCAATTGTCAGCACAGCTAGCTGCGGTTGCAGTAGTCGCCGTCTGTTGTATTTCTATCGAATGTTAAGAACAAAAAATGTTATAAATACTGGCTACTTGTTAATCCTCTTACGTTGAATTCATTTGTGGGACAATCAATACTTACCTTCATAGTGACGCATTTTACGACCGTTAGGCCGTTCTATCCGTTTTCCGCGTTAAAATTTATTCTATTCTAAGTATATTTTTTTACTAATAATAATAATAAATAGATGGAAAATATAGATTATGGTGATTGAATTAATTATTTATATACCTTTATTTCATTTCGACTATCGCCAACGTCCATACCATGTTGAAAACACCGGTTCTCGTCCGATCACCGAAGTCAAGCAACATCGGGCGTGGTCAGTACTTGGATGGGTGACCGCCTGGGAACACCACGTGATGTTGGCTTTTTGTAATTTTTTACAAACCTTGTATTCAAATTTTCTATTTTGTTTTCTACATATCTTCAGAAAATTTTTTTGCTTAAATTCATTTCCGGAAATTTCTACTTGCCAATGAGTAGAATCGAGCCAGGCGTTTATGTGATTAGGTATTAAAAAAAAACGAAACAAAAATTGTATTTACATTATGCAAAGCCACACAGTAAGTAGATATCTCTTATCCTCTCATTACCTAATTAATTATAGGTTGATGGTGTTTTTTAGGTATACCTACTTCAATATTTTATATTACCCTATTTTACTAACTTACTACTTAGTTGATAGCTTCGAGGGGCTATTCCATCTTAACTGAACTGGTAGGAAAGCCTCAGCTCAGCCTCAGCACAGCCTGAGAATTTACTAACACTCACTCTAGCAAGAGCAGTGCTTTGCTGAATCAATCATCGGATCTGAATCGTGACCCATTGAGATCTGGCGTGTGACCCAGTGGGTTGTGTCTATGGGTTACGTTGCAGGTCAAGCTCCAACATCAAAGAGTTGGACGAGAGTTGTGACTGGTCATTTCTAAAAGCACTGAGATTGGATCGGGAGGATCCGACATGGCATGCTTAGGGTGACGGCGGTTGTGCATTGCCCCTTCTTCTGCACCGGGAATGTAATTCAACAGTATATGTAAACAGGATGGTAAGTTTGTAGAAAACTGAATAAAAGCATTATAATTTTCTATCCCCTATAAGTATTACAAGTTATTCGCACATATCAGCATTTCGGGGACTGCAATTTAAAAGAAACAATAGCTTACATAAAGCATGTGAATTTTAATAAAAATCCTTGAATTATAAAATAATAAAAAAACTTTTGTTTATACATTTATTGTTGAGATTGAGGGTGGATACAGTAATGCAGCGTAGCTTTCTTGTAAAAGTATAAACAGTCAATTTTCTGCCTGCTCCAGTTGTGACTAGGTGGAAGAAACACTCAGCGAAATGCTTTGGAAAATTTTAAGAACAGATTTGAGAAATTTGGAATCAATAAATTATACAATAACAAAATAAATGCACAGTTGGCAGTTCTCTCTAACTTTATTCTTACTTAAGTTACTTTAATATGTTTCTAGTGATGTATAATATTAAATTATGAATTCAATAAGGATAAACAATGACAAATGGTCTGATCGTTAAATAAAAAAAAAGAATGATGTTCTACTTCTGAGAATTTATTATTTTAAAAACATGTTAAATCATCAAAATTCAGACCCTGCTAATATTCACATTCAAACAAATGAATCCCTGAGCATATTTACTTATCCAATGACTGTAAAACATGATATTTTGAAACTTTTTACTTTGCTTCCTTTACATTAACTACAATTCAATATCACCACCCTCTTCAATCAACTCGCCTGTTGCAGGTACCATGACCGGAGCCTCAATAATCTGTTTCCTGCCTTTAGCGTCCACAACTTCTATTGTCTCGGGTTCGACTTCCATTTCTGTGGCTTCTAAAGCTTGTCGCTGTTTCAGACCAGCCGCTGGTGACCTGTAAATTATCCAAGGAAAATCTGTTTTATTGGATCATCTTACATTTACTTAAACTTAGATCAATTTACAATAGGTCGTATTTTTTGTCAAAGAAATGTTTATTTTTTATTGCCCTTGTAGGCAGACGAGCATACGGCCCACCTGATGGTGAGTGGTTACCGTCGCCCATGGACTTTAGCAATGCTAAGGGCTGAGCCAAGCCGCTGCCTACCTGCAGAGATATGTTGAAAGTGAATTAGAATGCAGCTAAAATATAGTAATATCTTTTTTATGATAATTGTCTTGCATTTGCAAAATCATAACCATCACTACATAATATAAAACAAAGTCGCTTTCTCTGTCCCTATATCCCTATGTATGCTTAAATCTTTAAACCTACGCAATGGATTTTGATATGGTTTTTTTTAATAGATAGTGATTGAAGAGGAAGGTTTATATGTATAATAACATCCATTAAATAGTGCAGAAATCAATAATAAATTACTGTTTCCGAAGCGAAGCAAGGGTGGGTCGCTAGTTAAATAATAATTCGCTTAATATGCAACATTTATCTTTGTAAGGCAAGGTGCTTTTTATTTAGTACTATCATCAACAGTTTGATGTTTGTAATTGAGCTTCAATTAAGTTTACATAATTAAAATAGCTGAAGAAGTTTTTTTGCTATATTCTTTCTAAATTTTAATTTTCAAATGGCTCTGTTGTAAAATTGCAAAAATGTCGCTTAATTATGTTTTACGGTAGCATTGGTAGATATTGTGTAATAGTGTGTAATTGTTATTTAGTTGTAATAGTTTTTTTAAGAGTTTAAAAACATAAAACAAGACACTCCAGTGTACAAATTTAAAATAAAAATTTCTGACTCTTGTTGCATTGAGATACGGGTACTTATTCACTTCATTCACATCCTGCTTCACAGTTTAAATACATTATTCGATACCATATATGGCTGTCGTATCACATAAAACACAAAATAACACTTACTTTATCAAAGAGATGTCTCTCTGGACTTCTCGCACGTCTCTTTGCCACTCTACCTCTCTGCCCTGTCTCAATCGCTGCATAATATAATTATTACTCCTTCTCTGTCTAATCTCTTCCACTTTCTTCATAGCTTCGATTGTTTTAGCCCACAATTCGCGATTGTATTTCAAGGGCACATTTCGTCTCTTTTCGAACTCGAAGGATGGGTCTATAGACAATTCCTTACCCGCAGTCTTCCGGTAAGCTTTAGTCCATTTAGTTTTACGGGGATTCTTCTTCTTTTTAAACGCTGCGTGGCATTTTGAACGACAGAATCTGAAAATCTGAGGCCAGATTGGTTAGCTTGTTGAGTATGGTAATCTTTAGGGGCATTGTTGTTTATAGACTCACTTTGCAGTCATTCCGGACAAATTGGATTCCGTGTCCGGGATAAACCCTGGATGAACAGAAATAACATGTTTCTATACGCATTTTATTGGTTTTATGCACGTGTAGCGTGCACTGTTTTGACAGAAAAAATTTTTTTTTTTTAAGAGATTTTATGACCTGGTAACTAAAACCTTTAAGTCATGTCCTATTTTACTTTGTATTCTTAATTTTATGAAAAATGATAATATGGAGTGAAATGAAATGAAGATGATTAATTTGAGACATTAATCAACTGGGATGAAATTTAATGAAATGAAATGATATGGGATGAAATATAATCGCAGTAAAATGGTGGTCATTTACTGAGATTTTTTCAGTGGACTTTTTGGAGGAACCCGAGAAGTTACGTCCAGCAGCTTTGTTTCATTTTCCCACATTTGTGCACTTTCACAGATATTAAACAGTTAATAAACCACCATTATTACACATTTAAACCTGAAGAAACACTAAATAGACAAAATACAACTTCACTCCTCGCGTTCCCGCCAAAAAGTCCGTTTTGACAGAAAACGTCAAAAAGAAACATAGATTATGCATACACTTAATATTAGAGAAAAAGAAATAAGATTTTTTTATTTTTAAGGGATTTTATGACCTGGTAACTAAGACCTTTAGGTTAAGTCTTATTTTAATTAATATTTTAATTTTTATAAAAATGTTATGTGAAATGAAATGAAACGAAGATAATTAATTTGAGACATTAATCAACTGGGATGAAATTAAATGAAATGAGATGAGAGAATTTGCGAACATTAACCTTGCAAGAGAAGTGCAATAACAGAATCTACCATTAGACTTTTTTGGCGGGAACGCGAAGAGTGAAGTTGTGTGGTTTGTTTTATCTTGTATAGTATAATTAGTGTTTCTTCAGGTTTAAATGTGTAATAACGGTGGTTTATTAACTGTTTAATACCTATGAAAGTGCACAAATGTGAAAAAATGCAACAAAGCCCTTGGACGTAACTTCTCGGGATCCTCCAAAGACCACTAAAAATCTCAGTAAATGACCACCATTTTACTGAGATTATATTTCATCCCATAACATCTCATCTTATTTCATTTAGGCCGTTTTCCAATTACAGCACAAGAGCGCATTATGCGGCATAATTGGAAAACTATCATTAAGTAATGGTTAATTACAGAGCATAATGCGACTCAGTGACGCACAATGCCGAATTATGCTGAAGCTTAGTTGAGCATAATGCGCTCTTGTGCTGTAATTGGAAAACGGCCATAATTTCATCCCAGCTGATCTCAAAATTCTCAAATGAATCATGTTGATTTAACTATGTTATGTCGTGTACACCATAGACAATACACATGTATACTCAAGTACCGTATATACATCTCATTTCAATTTAGGTTTATTTTACTTCGCTCCTTAAAATTTTTCAAATATTAATGTATGCTTTTATAATAATAAGTGAAGATGTTACAGACTTGACACAATCATCGCAAAGGTTGGTTTTCGAATTTAAAAAAAGGAATTTGACAAAGATTATCAAAAATATGCCTTTAGAATTAGTGTTAATGAGACTTTAGACTTACTCAACCTTAAGCATTATCAAAAAGGAAAACGAAAGGAAGAATAAGGTTAAGAAAAGACTAAATAATTTATTCACCAAGAGATGGCGCTAGAATAAAACAATGACTTAACACTAGAGTGCGCGATCTGCATTTTTCTTAAAACGAAAAAATAATGTCAATTTAAAAATAAAACATATTTTATTAAATTATTTACAGTACCTACCTACTCTATGATATTTTAATAATTTATTTTGTAATATCATGCATTATTTTTGTTCATTTTGTGTTGCAGATCTCTTCATCAGTGACTTTCTTAATTTAACCACAGTTGTTTATTCCTGTGGGACGGATGGTTTATTTTCAAATGAGTATATTTTACCTAGTCGCTGTTTGTTTAGTCAAATGAAATATTATTTAAGTGTGTATTTCTATTGGATTTATGTTTTTTGTATAAGATTTAATGAAAACGAATGATATTTAGTTTAGGATTAATTCATTAAACTCTTTACAGATTTCCTGATGAATGTTAATTAAATATATCTTTCTTCATCACATGTATATTTTAGCTATATTCATAGAGCTGTTTTTCTTTCGTGGACCATTTCATTTATGGTCTTTCACTCAAGCCAATATCGAAGGAAGCAATTAAGATCAGAATTAGGTAGCTGGAAGGTAATCTAAGGATACAAATGTTTCGGTCGGATCATTTGTATGGGTGGTATGGAAGTACTTTTTAAAGACATGATATAAAACCTTAACTTTAACTTTAACCGGTTAAATTTGACTTGAAAAGCTTTATTACGCGGCGCTTAGTGAAGACCAGAGGATTTGTCGGAACAGATATCTAAGTATTAACTTAAAACCTTACATTTATTTGTAAGATGAATATTTAGATTAATTTATAATATTATTTTATTATTTATGTAAGGGTTTTCGGGTGGGATCACGTGTAAAGTCATGGGGTAATAATGTACTTCGTGTTTTAGTTCTTTAAATTTTAGTCAGTGAAACCGAAGGAATGACGTAAGACTAATGTAGATCGAAATGATATCGGTATATTGCCACTTAAAATCTATGAAAGAGAAGTCGGGGACTAAAATAAATATATTTCAAACACTATGATGCCCGCTCTCATATAGGCCGTGAGCTTCTCCATTGAATGAAATATCTCAATAACAAACCCATTAGCCACGGAATAGTTTTCGTATGAAGCTATTTAGTAGTTTTTTTTTAGTAGTTTTAGTAGTTTTGTTATTAATAACGCGACAATATTCAAAGCGTCCATCGTTTAGGCAATTGTATTGCGAACTTTGCAATTATTATGAGACGTGCCCCGTGTGGTCTCATTTAAGAGACATTTGTGTGATAATCAGATACAAACGTGATGTAAATTTTTATTATCATATTAATAAAGATGCTTACGAGTACGGCCCACCCAGCTTTGATTTCGTAATGTGTTAGTTAGTGAGTTATTTTAGGAATTAATTGGTTAGTTAGTGGCAGGTTTTCGGGTAGTCACCGAAAAATGACCGCACAATTATTCATTTATATAAAATAACTAGCTGTACCCGTCCGCTTCACTGGGCATTTAAAATTAACATTATTATTTCTCACCCCCACAAAGATTGTCATCATTAACGCCCCCGCAACTGGTGTAGGTAATCCAACACTCATATAAATATTAGCCTATCCATTAAGTACATGTATTTTCTACATGGATACCAAGTTTCAAGTCAATCGGATGCATGGTTCAGTAGTTTTTTTATTTTATTTTTATTGCTTAGATGTGTACGAGCTCACAGCCCACCTGGTGTTAAGTGGTTACTGGAGCCCATAGACATCTACAACGTAAATGCGCCAACCACCTTGAGATACATGCTTATAACGGAACATCCGTAAAAACCACTGTAGATTTATATATTAAGTAAGTAAGTATGGTATTTAATAATGCTGTGGGAGATATACGAGAAAGGGAAGGTCTTCCACCGAGCGGGTGATTGCTCAGTACACCGACGGTCCGAATGTTGTTGTTCGGAACTTGTATCCTTCTCAAGCTCATCTTGAAAATGTCGTAAGCGAGGTTTAGGCATCTGTCAAATATCTTGTGTTGTATGCTAGCTACCGCCACAATGCACGAAATATATTATTATCTTTATCTATTTATATCTATATATATTCATATATATAAATGAATTGCTGTTCGTTAGTCTCGCTAAAACTCGAGAACGGCTGGACCTATTTGGCTAATTTTGGTCTTGAATTATTTGTGGAAGTCCAGAGAAGGTTTAAAAGGTAGATAAATATGAAGATGCTCGGAATTAAATAAAAATAACAATTTTGTTTTTCCTTTGATGTGTCCCTCGTCGGACGGATTGCTTTGGTTTGTTTTAAGTTTATTTTATACAAAAGCAATACAAAAGCTCTTATGAGTGTGCTATGTTTGATTGCCACAAGAGAGGACGTGATGTGGCGGGCCTTGTTGTTAAAAACGAAATGTTTGCTGTGTCAATAATCAAGGAAAAAAACCCGGATATTAATTGTTTGTTAAACCGAAAATTAGAAGTGGTTTTAATGAATTTTTATTTTACGATTGTGATAGGCGTTATACAATAGGACCATATATACTCAGAGCAGTATGGCCGTCTGCCTACTCCTGACTCTGATTGCTAATTCGTGTTTTTTAATTCTTGATACTTATTTTTTTTTAATGATGGATTGCTGGTGGCCCGTTTGCCTTTACGGTTTCACAGAACTGGTGTGCGAGCAAATGCTCAGCCAGGAGGGGTAGGATTTGCTAACAGCTACCCGAGCGCCTCCGAAGGTGGCCTAACAACTCAAGATACTTGATACTCGTCTTGTCGTCATACTTGATATTTAAAGTCTTCGTGGCCCAAAGGATAAGACGTCCGGTGCATGCGTATCTAGCGAGGCAATGGTGTTCGAATCCCGCAGGCGGGTACCAATTTTTGTAATGAAATACGTACTCAACAAATGTCCACGATTGACTTCCACGGTGAAGGAATAATATCGTGTAATTAAAAAATCAAACCCGCAAAATTATAATTTGCGTAATTACTGGTGGTAGGACCTCTTGTGAGACCGCGCGGGTAGGTTCCACCGCCCTGCCTATTTCTGCCGTGAAGCAGTGATGCGTTTCGGTTTGAAGGGTGAGGCAGCCGTTGTAACTATACCGAAACCTTAGAACTTATATCTCAAGGTGAGTGGCGCATTTTTACTGTAGATGTCTATGGGCTCCAGTAACCACTTAACACCAGTTGGGCTGTGAGCTCGTCCACCGATTTAAGCAATAAAAAAAATACTCGGCGGTGTTGCGAGTACGTCTGGGATGGTGTTATCGTTGTCTCTATTTCTTCCATGAAGCAAGCGAGCATTCTAATTAGTAATTAAATTGTTCCTAGTGAATTACAAGCAATAAAGTTTTACCTAACCACTGAAGCTTCTAAACTCAAACCCTTCGGTTTAATTAAGCAGAAACTGAACAAAGTCATCGTTTTTGAAGTTATACTTCTTTAGGCGCGTTATGAAAAATTGATG